AAGACCCTCAAGAACGACATGTTCTTTCTCGAATAGATGGTGAGATACAACGTGTTTGGTATCACGACCTTAGAAGAGATTCTCGATGTTTGGTGATATTACTGGAGATAGGAACGACTGCTGATGGTGTTTCAAATGTATTATTTGAAGGAAGTTATGACGGCCTCAATAATAATCAAATAACAGGGTGGTCTTCTCGCCCTGGTATGGAACACTACCGATGGTTGAGAGGCCCTATCAATCATCTTCGAAGAGAACAGAGATCAGAGTATGTGGCGAATATAATTCGTCGCATCATAGATTTCCTCAACATATGATGACCGCTCTTTGTGGAACTCGTCTCTAGAAGGGGGGGTAATGTCACGGCCATAATCATGTAAGCTAATAATTACATATAGAAATAGGTAGAAGTAAGTAAAAGTAAATAAAAGTAAGTTAATTCTATAATATTTAATATAGAAGCTTCCTAGAAACTTCTTAGACGCTGCTTTGACTTCATAGGTGTCCTTATTTGACTTTTTGGATTAGAAACGTGGTCAACAAGTTGGCCATGTGCCACACATGTTGTTAGCTTGAAGATCAAGCTAACTATGTGGCCCACACGTAGAAAAACTTGCCTTGTAAGTCAAGGCATGTGTCCTACAAAGTCAACACATATTATAGGTCCTATAGAACGTCGCCACGTAGCCCCTAGTTAGATAGTATATATAGAGACAAGAATGAAGGCTTCTTCACTCTTGTCAACTCCTTTCTTGCTTCTAGTCCAGGTTCAAGAGTCTTTAGTTTCTTGTCTTGTGGCAATAGCCATTCCAGTTTCCTTTTAATATACCTACTTGTTTATATTTTGACTTATTATATCGAGATAGCCTTTTTGTGTATATTTTCCCTCATGGAGTCTTTGTCCTTGACATTAAGTTGGTCAAAAGGTTTTAAAATTAAAGATAAAATAATAGCTATTCTTAATGGTAATCTTGATAAGTCTTTGATAGTCTTTGCATATCTATAGAGATCTATCTTTTTTTGTCACAATTATAATATGAGCTCCTATTAGAGATTTTAAATGGCATATAAAATTCTTAGCCAAGTTCTTGTCAATATATTCTTTTAATACATCCAACTTGTTTTGCAATAAACTGTAGATTGGTCTAAATGGTGGTTGAGTTCCTTCTTAAAGATTAATCAAAAAAACATAGGATTGATGTTTTGGAAGAATATTAGTATTCTTTTTTTCAAAAACATCTTGAAAATCTTGATATTGGGTAGGAAAATTACTTTATGTCTTTCTATCATCAAAAATAGGCATGGCATATATAAGAAAAGATAATATTTTTTTTGTCACATATATAAAAACTCTTGTACCTACCAATAAGGATTTGAAAGTACTAGACTTATGTATTTCTACTTAACTAATTAAATTTTGGATTAAACTAAAAGAAAAGTCAAGGTTACAAAAAATCCAATCTATTTGAAGATTATATTTTTTTAAGTACAATAATCCTAAAATAATTGTTTTGAAGGAAGATCTTATCACGTAAATATTATTATATTATTATATAGTAGTATAGCTATTAGATGAAAGAAAAAAATTATGATAAAAGAGCCTAATTTAAAATATATAGTAAAAAAATAAAGATAAAAGATATATACGTAATAAAATCTTATAGTATTAAAACTAACTTTTAGGAAAATGGATTCTATTTACTTTGTAGGACCGAAAATAAAGCAAAACAAGGTAGATTAAAAAAATAAAAAATATAGGCATATGTAAGAAGAAGTTAAAAGTTGATTTTAGTAAAAATTATCTCATGAAGATAAGAATTGATATCCAAAAAGGACTAGTTGTCAACTAAGGTCAAAATCATATCTTGAGGTACAAAATCAAGTACCTTTGTCATTGTCAAGTTTCTTTTGAAAATTAAAGAATGAGGTTTGAAAGTAGACTTAAAGAAAGATTTTTAAATATTATGTTAAGAACATCATGTTGCAAGTTCCATTTTTTCCTTCTATAGCCTAATATCTAATACATTCTCAAGCAGATTTTATGTAATACAACAACACTATTATAATCTTTAATTATTATATCTAAAGGAATAATTTCATAGATAACATCTCCAAAAGACAAGAAACGACCATCTATGACTTCTAGATATACAGATTTAGTTTTCTTGACTAAAAACATTTCTTATTTTTTGACCAAATCTTTGTTTATTAAACAAATTGAGGCTACTAAATCTAATAAAGCAAAGACTTTGTGATTTTTAGCTCCTAAATGGACATCTATTATAAAATAAGGTGATGGATTTGAAGAAAGAATAGGACCTTTACTAGGTATTGCAGATGATTTCAACCACACAATGTTGTATTATAATACAATTTTATAATAAAAATATAATCAAAAATAAATTTCAAATTAATATCTAATTATCTTGATTCAATAATATGTCAAGATATTTAAACATGGCTTTTATAAAAGCCTCTTAGTTTATTTTCTTGTCTTAATAATTAATAGATTAAAGGTTGATTAGTAATTTTATCTTTTAGGTTATATAGATTCTTTTATTACCTTAAAAATACCATAAATTAATAAACATTAAGTAGAAGAAATAAATAATTATTATAATTGATACTAAAATTAAGTTGAAATTAGGGTTGGGCTAAAAAATTCCTAGGATAAGTTGAATTGATACTTGGAGGTTGATCGTTTGTAGGATAGGATTAAAATAAAATCTCTAGCTACTAAAATAGTTGCTTAGGGCAAAATATAGATACATTTAGAGATTGGTAATTGAAAAAAAAGAGTTTGCTACAAGCTTATTTCAAAGCCATAAGGCTTATTTTTATAGGATTTGGAATGACTTTGCAATTATTGTTCAAAGTTAGGATTTGTAATAGTAACTTTGGATTTATGCACTACAATTAGGACTAGCACTTTCATCTAGTTCTTGCAATTGCTATTACATCTACAGTTCAAAATTTGGTAGTACTTGGTTGATTTGGTGTACTAAGTGTGTGTACAATTTTGAATTAATCTAACAATGTGATTGAGAGATATCTAATTTTTGATACAAGAGGATATTGGAAGTTGGATTTCTATGATATTTAAAGATCTATAAGTTGGAACAAGGTGAAATTTGGCATAATATTAGAAGACTTAAAGATCAAGGTCTATACCAATTTTGAGCTAAATTTAATAATTAGAGAAGAAGAAATTGCTATTGGAACATTAATATCAACTTTTCAATTGGCAGTTAAGTAAAATTACCACAATTTTTTAATTATTTTTTTACAATTTATAAGTTTGATTGGATTGAATTTTTTTAAGCACGTAGAAGACTTATAGTGGTATTTATATGCAAAATTTTGCATATAAATCAAGCTCTTGAGGTTGTTTCTTCTTTACAAGATTTCATCTCATAAAATTTCTCAACTTATTTTGTATTATATTCTAAAATAATTTTTTTATTTATTTTTTTATCATATTCTATAAATAGAAAAATTTGTAATTATTTATCTAATTTTGAGACTTGCCACAATATTTTTCTTCTTTATATTGTTATAAAATGTATTATAGAATTTTGTACTATTGATTTGATTTGTATAAAAAAATTCTTACATTAAAAAAAAACCAACAAGTCCTCAAACAAGAGATTATTACTTATTGTTTTTAGAATTTACATTAAATTGTGATGCAATTGCGGCCAGCGCTACAAGTATATAAGATAGAATCTATCAACTTCTATTTTCTTATGTAGTAGTTCACAAGGACATCACTTCCAAAATCCAAGGCCTCTATAATCTTACACTCCTATCATTACAACTAAAACATTAAAATCTAAATATATTCTATCTTGGACTCATGATTGCAAGGTTTGACTCAAAGTTGCTATCCTTTATCAATCCAAATGAAGCCACTTATTACAAACCATCCAACAAATTGGTTCTTTCTTTTGTCTTTTTCATCTCTTTCCATTCTCATCTTACACAATCATATATAGGCCAATGTGTCAAGTTTTAGGAAGGACAATAGTATAGCCTTATAATACAAACTCTTAAATATGAGACATGATATGTAAACCAAAATTTAACTTACAAACCAATTTTTTATTTATATGCATTCTTCAATAAGACTATCATCTATTCTATTTATTGCATACTCTTTCTTTGACTTAATTAAGACTAAAATAAATCAAAGAGCTTGTCTTCTCTCTTATATTTGTAAATCACTTCCATTTCTTCCTACTCTATGGTCAATTCCTCTTTCAAATGCTAACTTATTTCTCTCAAGTTTTTTTTTATTATTATTTCTAATTCTTTTTATAAACAAGCCTCAATTCTTTCAATATTTTACTTTAATAAAACCAAGTACTTTATCATTACAAATGTTTTCAATTGTAATGACTCTACAAATGCATTGGCAATTGTATGATGCCCTTTTAGAGGTTCTTGTTTGAACTTTAAAACAAGTGGCTGAATCTTTTTTTTTTTTTAATAGAAAAGATGGTATTCCCAATTGAACCATGCAACTTTTAAAAGTTTGTTGGATCTTTTAGCCAATAAACAATTACAATATACTTAGTTCTTTCAAAATAATCTCCTTTGCCATAGTTTATAGTGCTAGGGATCTTATTTTGAGGCATAAGGAATAGCAAAAAAAGAGTGAAAAAGAATGGATGTAAAATGTTAAGTCAACATGCTAGATTGACTTGATATCACTTCATACTTCATCAAAATATCAAGGGGTAGTAAGATTTGACCAGTGATATTTAGATATGATATTTTGAATGATCCTAGAATTATCATGTACTGAATTCAAGTTATTTGATTTTGAAATCTCTCCAATGTTTGAAACCCCCTATTGAAAATGACAATTAACAACACCATTGAAATCTTTTACTCATCTGTAAAAATTCCCTTTCTATATCCATCCCTTGTGTCCCAACGATTCAAGTATCTACTTTCAATAATATGTAAACCCTTAATACATTCTTCACAAGATTGAATGCCTTTTCTTGAGTGCACATGATTCATTTGATGCTTACAAAGAAGACTGAATTCATCTAGGTTGAGGTGATACATTAACAACAAAAGCAATTCCACCCAGTGCAAAAAATTTGTGCGTAACCTGATAAACTTCCTTTCGATCGCCTCGTGCACTAAAGCATTTGGACTGTCAGTTTGAAGATGTGGCGTAAAAGTCGTTTAAGAACCTGATTAAGTTTCCAAAGACTAATCAATAGAGGACGTTAGTTAGTAGCCAAAACTCGGTCATGGCCACACTTTAGGGTATGCCGGGCATATCATGAGCAGTTCCTGAGCAGATGAGGAAGCAGGCTGGTTTGACCCAGCTTCAATGCTCACCATGCTCAACTCCGCTGATATGGATGGAACTTCACCCAGTTGGAGGGAATACTGGGGGCTAAAATGTGAGCCACTTAATGAAGAATTCAACCCTGAACTTAGATCGTACAAAACCCTGGCAATCTGTCGCATTGTTGGTCGTAATGTCCCATCAACCTGCAAGCCAAAATTTCCTTATTTCTGTTAAGTTCTGTCCAAGGTTAAGCATAGCAAGGATTGAGCAAGATTCAGGAAAGTGGGCACATGTACTAAAGCTTTTTGTGTGAAGCGTTTCACACAAACAAGTCATTCCTGAAAGTCAGTGATTGCGTACATGATAAGAATGAGTGTACCTGAGTGCACAGCTTGATGATGGAGATGAGTGACTTGAGTTCATCCATGTTGTATTCATGTTCCAAGTCTGAATCGACAAGGAAGGCAACTTTTGATTCATTGTTCATGTATTTCTGAGCCCAGTCCACCAGTCTCATGTTGTCATTGATGGCTCGTCTAGCAGTGACGAGCTCTAACAAAAGCACACCAAAGCTGTAGACATCACTTTTTTCTGCCAATTTCTGTGTGAGCTCATACTCTGGATCCATGTAACCTGGTCACAGGCGCAACAGTTAACAAGCTCGAGTCAGAATTTGCAATTTTTTGAAAGTGATTAATATCCTCCCGCGACTTAAATTCAACCAAATGTAAGATCCAGATCAGCAGCACAACCAAGAAGTTAACCTGGTCTTGATTATTTTCTCCGTCTATGAATATTATCAGTCTCCTGAATTCATAAGACCAGATGATGGACACACCTGGAGTTCCACGGACTTCAGTAGTTACTGGCTCGAACTTAGCAGCTCCATTTCTTCCCCCACGAGCTAATCCAAAGTCAGCCACCTGTGAGCCACAATCCGAGTAGTGCTCTTCAATAACTACTTCATCCAACTTCTGACGACTAGGAAGGTGAACATCAGTACAAGCTCGCCAGATAAGCTTCACAATTGATTGATGTATCAATACGTTTCAAAGCATTAGCAGGGCTTGAACAACCGATGGATTACCTTTGCTGTAAAGGTTTCGTTCAGTAGAATGTTGCTGGATTTTATGTCACGGTGACACAATGGTGGTTCACAATATGAATGAAGATATTCCTGCATTGTTCCAGGAAACACAAAATTCTCAGTCGGCACTCTTGAGCAACTTCTGTCGTCGTTAAAGAAACAAAAAGGACGATATTGTTACACAGATTACTGGAGTGATTGCAAAGTCATCATCTAGAAAGAAAAACCTAAAATAAGAGTTTTCCGCAGAAATTTACGAGGCCAGTTGCAACATCCAAGGCGATCTGCAGCCGCCTTTGCCAAGTAAGAACCGGCTTCACTTGGCCTGCGAATCCGCACACGCAATTTATGAGTTACCAGACACGAATTCGGCTCTTGATTATTATTTAGGTCCATTAAGCCATTATTTTAAAAGCACTGACTACTGATCTAGAAACAGTCTTTAGATCAGAACCAAAATTCAGTGTCAATAAGCAGGTGAGGTTATGGATGTGCACCATGTATATGTTCCTTCAGGCTCCCATTCTCACAGTATTCGTAAACTAAAAGCCTGCACCAAAACAGAAAAGGTTACCAGCCATGTAAGTTTCACATGCTCCTCTAAACCAGTTCGTGACATGCACACTTTCTATTCCACGAATTATAAATTGCATGTCATAAAATGGTTGGGTATTAACTCATTACCAGAAGAATCATTCTCTTGAAAAAGTGAAACGCATTGAACTTAATGAGAAAAGACTTCGTTGGAGCTTTTGTTTTCGATGGAGTACCTTTCATGGCGCTCAGCACAGTAACCTCGCAGACTAACAAGATGGCGGTGATGCAAACGCCCGAGAAGTTCCATTTCCTTGCAAAACTCCTGCTCTCCTTGCGATGTGCCCTTGTTCATGCGCTTAACGGCAGCCACGAGGCCATCGTGAAACCGTGCCTTGTACACGGTTCCAAATCCACCTCGCCCTATGATTGTACTGAAATTGTCCGTAGCACCCTGGATTTCTACGAGCTTGAAGTGTCTAAAAAGAGGTGTGCAATCTGAAAAACGAATGTCCACACAATCAAGACAACGTATTCCTGTCAATTAACACCTAAAACCAATTAGGTTAGAATCTTCACCCTATACATTCTCTGCCTTCGCGGGATGCTTAACGATGACCAGTATATACATTTTGTCTCACCTTTTCGGCAATTGCGACCCTTCGATATTGCACAGGTTCCATCTTTGCTACGGATGGTTGGTAATCGCTTGCCAGTTAATGGCTTTTGATCTTCTGGAGATTGAAAGGCTTTCCGCTTCCGATGGACTATGACAACCAGCATTATGAGCAGGAATAGCACAAGCCCCATAAATACGATACAAATTCCAAGAACAATGATCAACCGGGTGAATGATTGCATCACTGCCCTTGAAGAAAACACTCCACTTGGGCTACTTGGTCCTGGAGCTGGAGCAAGCATTTGAAATTGCGGATGGAGATGCGGAGCAAATTCTGGCACGAAAACTACACCGCATGAGTTTTTGCTGTCATAGAGTGAAGCAAGTTGCCATGAGAAAACCAGGCAAGCTTCGAAGGTCACCATCTTCTTCATGTCAGAGAGCCGAGGTATTGTGTTATGGCTATGGTAAGGAACATCTCGATTCTGTGATTGCTGGAGACGTTAAAACCTTGATTTCATTTAACCATAGATCCTGATATTTTGATGAATTATGATTAAACGTGAGGATTGTTTCACCAGAAGGAAGACAGCTCACCTTGAATGGTAAACAAGCAAGAGCCGATTTCATAGGCCTTTGCTTCAGTAAAGTTGCTTGTGATGGCAAGAAACACAAGGTCACTGCAGCTTTGAATCACCTTGGCTTTCATACCAGAGCCCCTTGCAGACGCCAGAACAAATGTGACGTCCAGCATTGCTCGACGGCAAGGCTCACACGAAGTCGCTGCCACGCTACAAGACTCTTGGATGAGACGGTAGTCAATCTTTTGCTTACGAAGTAGTTCGTGAATCTGTTTCACGGTAGAGATCCCATGACATCCGTGTGTGGAGGTATGAAAAATCTCTTCAGCAGCGATATTGCAGGTTTGGAAGCGTGAGTGCATGTCGAGAATGGCCAAATCAGAGCTAAGGTCTTTGAGGCAAGCAGCGCCCTGCTTCTCAGATATGGAGAAGGTGGTGGACACTGGAGTTGCATGTGTAATGCTGATGCGCAAAGCCAGTAGTGCTGAAGCACAACACTTGTATTGATTCCCTTTCTGAGCATCGCAAGTCTCGACTATGGCGGTAATCTTGTCTGGCTGGAGTGTCACTGGGCATCCTGACAACACATCAATTACGAAAAGCATTAGAATCCGATGACTACACCACTGGCATCGCACTTGTATACATACCAAGAGACTGGTAAAACATCAGAGAAGTTTGGGGGCAGCTGGCTTACGAGACTGAGGCAGTAGTTGCGCATCTGACTCGTGAAACTGGAAAAAGCAATTAGCATGCTCCATGGCGTAATCTGAGTCTCCAAGACTTGCAACTGACAAGAATATAGTATCCGCACATGACCGCCATGATTCTGAAACCGTGCGGTTCTTCGTCAAAGTGCCTATAAACCCCGCTTGAGAGTCCAAACAATTTCGACATGACGCAGTTCCAGCACGACTTTGAAGCGGACCGCAAGACACCTCGACCGGACTATAATTTGGTGATTTGTGGATCGATCGTACATCCCTAAGACCTTCGCACGGTGGGTCTACGAGGAGGCTCGCATTGAGCGCACACCAAGTTGCCACCGGCAATTCAATGTTTCTATTCTGAAAAGTGGCACTGATGAAGACCTTGCAATGCTCAAGTAGGTCAGGAGGGAGATGTAAATTGCTGGAGTTTCGAGTATATTGCGACATGGCCACTGCAACAAGCGCTTTGGAGTGGTCGCAGCAGCTGCCATAGCTGAAATTTGCACACGCTGCCACAGTGGAGGTAAAATCCAGCCCGCTGAAGTCTAAGGGGCACAAACCATCCGAGCCTACACACAAGACAAATCCTGTTCTTAACGCCACACGCTACTTTGTCACTGGCGACAATCGAAAAAATGAGGACACTTCTTGTAACAGGATCTTATGACACAAACGCGGGGCAAAAACGCAAGAGTAAGGCCAATATGAATGCACGGAAACATTGTCCACAAAATGAAAGATGAGTATACTGATGTCAGCTATTCACCTAACAGAGACTGAGTTGTTTGCACGAAGCACCCAGTGCACAAGACTGTGAGCCACACCCACACCCAATGCGTATCCATCGTATCAGCGACCTGAAGGACTCATGTCACTTGCACTCGTTTGTAGCTGGCCCTTGGAATCTCCTCCTTCTAGATGGTACGCTGCCAAGTTGCTACTGTGTCACCTGCTGCTGTTGGCTATACAGTGGACCCAGTTGCAGAGAATCCTTAGACTTCAAAACCACATCTATGGAACCATATCCCCCCTGACTCGCTTGTCTCAAGCCGGACTGCATTCTCAAATGTCTGTCACTTGGGTTCCCACCGAACTCCATCTCCAGAATTCTTCACATCGCGGAGTCTTGGCATTGGAACCCTGTTTGCCAATGACGTCCTGCACGCGACAATGGTGTTAGGAATCAGCTGTAGAGCGTGCGCTAGCTAATTTCCCTATCAAGTCGATTTTGATATGGGTTTGACAATCCTCATAAGGCAACGTCTCCTTCCGAAGAAAAACTCGATTTCTATGCCTCAGCTCCTCGTCCTCTCCGCTCCACTATGAAGGTTGAGACAGCTGACAAAACACGTCATCGCAAAATCTTAAGGAACACTAAATACAATCGTGATGGTCAAACTAGGAAGCACGTATCAACGAATATAAGATCGTAAGAAAACAATCTGTTGCAGAAGAAAAGGAAGAGGAGAACAGACCCTGGTTGGTGTTGGGTGCAGACTGCAATCGTCGCTGCCACAGCATCCGATGACCAGCTTAACAGTGGACTGACTTTTCCAGGCTAAGATTTGTTTGTTACTCCATTTCCACAATATGAAGTTTTTGCGAACATAATTTAACCACAACAGCTTTTCAGTTTAAGATGGATTATACTCTTTCATTTCAAATTAAGCATATCACGTTATAACAATGTTTTTGTTGTATACCCTTCCTTGTTAATTTACCTCTCAAGATGATTATGTGTCTCAAACAGGTATTCAACTTAATTATAGGTTTCAACACTTTTAAAAGGTTCCCCCATAGAGTGTTGCTGAAGAATGTAACGGTGAAGCTCTGAGTGATCATTAAAACAAGTCCCATGATTGACACCACCGAGACAGAGCCCATCTCATAAATGTCCATTCCGTTACTCAATGATGCAGCAGCCACACAGTATCGTAAAACACAATCAAACACTACACTAACAATCTCCTCGATAGCTAATCACCAGATACACGCCCAGTCTTCAGAGTCGGTATCCAAATCGCACAAATCCACCTAACAAACTCATCTCTACTGCAGTTAATATACTCAGACTCCGCATATTATATTTCAATGTATGAATATCCAGATGATTTTTATATTTTAGTATAGTTTACTGCGTTCAACAAGTCGTGGTCAAACACATCAAGTCCACAAGCATGTGTCGTCTTCGGTGATGTGAGCAAATCCAAGGAGACCCAAATGGGCCAACAGCTTGCTGGCGTTCCAGAAACCGAGACGTTCCATGATCAGCGCAACGTTAGAGACAAAAAATCGGAGTTGGGTATGACTACCCACTGAGGGATCCAACTGTGGGTACCGAGGACTGGAAATTGAATGCCGCACAAGTTGGAAGGCAACGGAACAAGACGACGACGACGACTGATGGAGAACCTGCAGCAGCTGCTGCTGCAGAAGCAGGCGATGTGCTAGACAATCTCTGACAAATGCCGTCGAATCTGTCAGCACACACTCTGGTGGATGAATTTGTCAGACGAAGGGACCAGATCCAGACACTGATCCAGACAGACTTAAGTTAAGTTACTGATCGATCGAGAGAGAGTCTGAACATGCCTTCGATTTCAGTCGCGGAGCTTGCGTCCCAGTCGCAGGGCTTTCTCTCTGGAGGCCATACTTTCTACGAAATCGGAATCTTTCTTTTGTTGTGTGTGTTATTCAGATGCTTTGCGTTTCTGTGGAAATCACTGGAAAGACAGAGAATAGGGATGTTTCTTTTATTATTTTGTGATTTAGTATTAGTCGGTTGTTGATAAGATGTTAGAATGTTTGCATTTGTTGATGAATGACTTCATTGATAATGTCGAGTTAACCAGACTGAACACACTTGAAATATGTTATGTTAAATTTTCATACAATAATATACTGTGATTGTATTTGTAACTTATGTAAATGTTATTGACTTTTAAACAACTATTAAGAATGGTTTCCTCTTCAGTTGTTTCGATTGAAAGACTGAAATCATTATTTGAGTTTTAAAGTAAAACAAATTTCTGACTAATAACAATTTATGATCTGATTTTAATAAATTCTAGTTAAAGTTAGTCAAAATTATTTGTAATAAGTTTTTACAACTATATATATGTTAAATTATTACATTGTTAGTTATTTAGAATATACATTTTTATTTATTTATTGAGAATATAGAGTCTATTGTATATTCATCATTTTGATTAATATTTATTTTGCATAACATCTAACTTGAGGTTATATTAGAAGTCATTAGAAGAATATTGTTTAAAACCTTGTTGTGCCCAATGACGGCATCTTAAAACACATTCAAGTTTTAAAAAGCGTGCATATTCAGTGCAATTAATCATCAAATATTTTTTTAAAAAAATAAGTTTATTTCCTAATCCTTCAATATAAGGTAAAAAATTTGGAGGGATACTTTTTTATAAAAAAAATTATTATATAAAATTGGCCAACTTTTCTCTTATATAATATTATGATCAGCATCTAAAAACATTATTTAAAGGTTAATATACATATTTTAGAAACATATGCAAATGTAGAGTTTTTTTGACTAAAAAAAACAACAATTTTTTTACAAAAAATATATTTATATTAAAATATTATAAAGATGAAAATAAAAATAGAATTATATTTGCATCTTATAATTTATGTGTATGTGAAATTATTTATTAAAATAAGAATCTCATTAATAAAAATTATTTAAGAATCAATACATAAAAAATTCAAAAATTCCATTTGTAGAATAATACATAAAGTACCTAATACTTTTTAAAATAAAATAACATATCTACTTTTAAAAGATCTTTAATGCAAACTACATAAATACACTCTACTTTTGATTGTATATATTTTTAAAATTAAACTTAAAAAAATTTAAATTAAATTTCTTGAAGATTCTTAAAATTAGTTTTAAAAACTATATTACTTTTTTTAAATCAAAGAAATAAAAAGAACTTACAACAGATTTTTAAAGAATTATATATATATATATATATATACATATATCTTTTGTGTACGAAAATATATGTAATAAAGTATACATATATTTAGAGAAACAATAATTAATTTCACATACACATGAATTATAAGATGCAAATATGATATTCTCATGATGGAATTGAATGCATGGTGGATTTTGGCTAATTGTGAGTATTTTACACTCATAATTTGATCTTTTAGGAAGTTGTTGAAATAAAGGACCAGTTATTGGAATAAAATTTGAATCTAATAAAATTTAGCTTCCAAAATAAAACATTATATTTTATAACGTATGACAATTGCGTGCTCCACAGATGATTGAATCAATCACCATCATGTAAATTTCTTTAAAAAGAAAAAAGACATTACAAAAGAACGTCGCTTCCAAGAGCATCATTGTGCCCCAAAACCTTTTAAATTAGGTAAAATCACCAAGATAAAAAAGTGAGTTTTTCCAAATGGAATAAAACACTGTTAATACTTTTATCAATTATAGAAAGTATTTTTATCTGTTGTTTAATTCTTCACACCAAATCATTAATATATATATCTATATCTATATATATATATATATATTAATTAGCATTGATGGATTATAAAGCTACGTACAAAGGAAAGCCAAAATGACAGGAATGCTGCGAGGCGAAACAGAACAGAGGCTGCCACACATGCAGACAGAGATGCGGAGCGAGAACCCATCATGGGACCGAAGGATGTGAAGCACCTGGCGAAACCGCCTGGAATCACAAACAAAACTCAGCATCGAGACTTGCCAATTGGAACTCAGCGCCCATGCTTCGACACACCATTCTGTACATGGACACGACTGTTGTGTTACCGAAACCGGTGCGCAAGTGCCCAAGTCGCAATAGGATCACCACCTGTGCTCTATCAAACACAACCCAACTGTTCCAGTCAACTATGAAATGACCTACCTCTAAATCTGTGCGTAGATATGGGTGTATGTATACGTACATACATATACATATGCACAAGCGAATATCATTTTTTTAAAAATGTTAAAATAACTACTTTCGAACGATCCTCAATTTGAGTTCAGATCCACCACACGGTCAATTCCATCACGAGGATGCGCATGAAATGCAACCACTAGCAACCTGTGTCCAAACGCCCACATTTTAGTTTGATTCTACAATTATTCTTCACATTGATACCAACAAGATAAAGAGAATGTATCCATCTCAAGAACAAACGAATCCCGTGCTTGGCATCAACTGGACTGCATGCCTGTTTCTTCATTTGCATTTAACACTGGGTATACGGCAGTACTACAGTAAATTCCTCCCCGGCTTCCTGTGCCAAACGTCGTGCTCCTTCGCGCATATGTCAGTTATTGTATCTCTAGGTTTTGGGTTCGGGCCTTGTGATCCGTGATCCAGCAATGCTCGGGCTGCATTGGGGTTCTGCGAAACCCACGGTATTCACTCAATCATGTCATATTCCTCACAAGAGAAACTCAACTATGACAACGCAGGGCAGTGTCTCGATGTCCGCACAGAGCTCAGTGGTGTATCACAAAAGATCCAGCAGTCAGCAACACCGAGCATCGTTGGAGCGTTGGTGTGGCCCAAGGAACACGCCTCAACACAAGAGGGGGACGTTGGACGGAGGCCAGTTGGAGATTGAAGCAGAGGTGGAGGGAAACTGAGGGGACTACCCCCATGATGAACGACACTCCACACCCAGTGACAATCACACTGTCATCCTTACTCTAGCGTAAACCACTCGACATTTCCTGCAGATACATAATTCTAAAAACTTTACGTCCTTGGTGCACATTTCAAGCTACATTCTTCCTGATAACTCCGTGTGAAACCAATGCGGCTTTGCTCAGGTTCAGACATAGGCGAAAATTCATCACGGGATTCATCTGAGATGTTAGTATTTTGTCATAATGGAAAGATGTCACCTGGATATGACTGGGATTTACTAATGGAGCCGACTGTTTTGTGAATGTTGTCCCGCAGTGTGGCACGACCATTACATAGCTCCAATTCTGTCAACACTCAGGATTCTCAAACATATTCACATTTCAAATGACACCATCTTATCTTAACCAAATCGTGAGGAGGACATGGCCTTGCACCTGCCTAGGACGATATCGAAGAACAAATTCGTTTCTACCTTACGATCAAAAGCAAGCACATTACTCAAGTGAATAATAACTGGGGATTAGAGCGAACCTAGAATGCAAGTTTTACAATAAGACGTGCATAGGAACAACCGTTGCAGATTCCAACGATTCACTTCGTTGAAAGTAGGTAGAAGAAACTGTGACACAGAGCATGGATTACAAGAGGCCCATCACTGAAAGAACAGAACAGGAGTACTAAGATGAGGATAGAGGCCATCCTAGAGGGTAGATTTTGTAGTAAATACCACCACTAGGGACGCAAATCCGCGATAAAATGTGCGGGCCAGCATGACACTTAAAACTCGCCACACTGGCGGCGCGTGTTCCTCCCTCGAATGCATTTCAAGTCACATAAGCTAGTAAGCATCCATAAAGGTGGAGAGTGAAGATCTCCATAATTCTCAACAACTTCACAGATCACTCAAGATCCAGAAACTCCATGCGCTTTCTCATTGTACCCTTCAGCTCTGTCGCGTCTTTTTCTGCTTTCTGTGCCTGAACCGACACATCTCTTAGTCATGATATAGCTTCAAAAAAAACCTTGCAGAGGACATATATCACTGTGCACGATGCCAAAATACAACTTCATAACCAGTGTGGGGCTACTCAAGTTATGATAGAGAAACGAAAGGATTACCTGTTTTATTTCTGTTGGAGTGACACGCACCATAAAAGAGGGCAACTCCTCCCTCCCCAGATCCTATATCACCCAACCAGTTCAAAAAATCATCTTAAACCAATAAGTTGGTAAGTTGGCACACCTGATTTTTTATTTCATTCAAATAAAGGGCAAAAACCAACTGTTCACGGAAAACTCCAAAATTTTCGGTACCAACGACATGATTCGACTATTTTTACTAAATTAAGGTGATAGTTTGTTCGTTTATGTTCTATAATCCATTTCCATATCACTACAATCCGTTCTGTTAGTATTCCATCGTAAAAAAAGGAAGGTAGACAGCTGATCTGTACGCACTTCTACATAACCGCTGCCACACAAAATCAAATGACCAATTACGACCAAGCTACAGAGAATCAGGATAGGATTGAACATAGATATGAAAGAGACATACAGCCTAAGTGCAATAGAGAATCAGAATAAAGCTCACCAATTCACCGATGAGAACAACATTTTCTCCCCGGATAATATACAGACCCAAAGGAAGATCACAATACAGCTCTCCAACCGTAATCCTTTCAAGTGCTCCCTCCAAGACAACATTCGCTGTTTCCCAAATTCCAAAACAGACCACAATATCCTCAATCTAACATGTAGTGCGTAGTTGCTAACCAGTCGATGAAGCTTCACTATTCAAATGTTTTACAGAGTGGATCATCACAGAAGTTATGCTCCAACAGCCCAAAAATGAGTTTCAATCAATGTCTGCCCAAGGCACGTTCTTGGGATGACAAAAATGTTTAAGCAGAAAAAAACTTAATACAGTACTAAAACGATTTTTACATGTAATGATGCAACACATGAGTTTGAGATACGTACCAAATTGATCGAAAGATCGGAGAATGCCGATTATCTTCTTTCCATCTCGCAGTATCACTAGCAGCTTCTCTGTAAATTTCGATCCCCACGAAGATATTGTTACCAAACAAAAGAGAGACCGTGATGAGGGGACATGCGGTGGCAAAGGCATTACTTCCCAGGCGTAAAATTATCGCGTTTTAGAGAGAGTGAATTAACATATAATTACGTACGCAACAGTACTGGCTGCTCAATAACAAATTGCCAACTGCCATGCCAATTATCAGCATTCCTCAACTCAGGAAAACAGGTGTTCTGGAAGACTGTAACTTACAGGATGGCATCACTCATTTGAATTCATATGCAAAGCCCTCGTAAATAAGATTAATAAACACTGAATGCAAATATTTAAAGACTTCCCCAAGCGCCACATTAAGTATGATAGAGATGAACCAGAAAAACTCTGTACCCTATCTTAGAGTTGAGTCCTCCTGAAGCCATAGACAGCTTTAAAATATGGATTTCAATCTCTACACAACATAATCTATCGATTGCACGTAGACTTGACTAACTTCAAGCGAATCAAACTGGGCACAATGTGGCCAGGTAAAAAGTTATTTTTTCGAGTATTGTCGTCACTACAAATTCAAGACATGCACTGGCACACTAATTGATACTCGAAATTCTATTGTTTCACGATGATTCTAGATCCCACCAAATTAAATGGCATTATGGTTGAGAAGCAGGAACATTCTGTCAAGAAGTTTCTCAGACTGGTGCTACCAGGGCTCATCGACGACAACAGTGGAAAATGTAGGATACCCTAATTGAAATAGAGCAAAGCCAAAACCACCTATGGTCATTATTTTGAGATCTATACACGCTTGAAAGAGTGATGGATCCAGGTATAAGAGATTATTCATCGAAATTCAGAAAATCCCCGTTGAAATGAGGGTAAACCATACTCATTATAACAGGAAGAAGAACTACTGCTGTAACTAGAAGATCATCACTAACATTGTGAGTCCAGATATCAACAATTCAATGATGGAATGCTACGTCAACAGAACAGAGATGAAGGAGGATAAAATGAGGTCAGACCAAGTTAAGACTTTCAAAAATTCACCTCTCATAAAGCATGTCAGATAGCCTAGCAGATTTAAGAATGCCTGAAACCGCTGCTAACTGTTCTTCTCTTATACTGTGCGCAACGTACAATGTCAAAAAAAAAAAAAAAAAAAAAAAAAAAAAAAAAAAACGCTACTGCATGAAATCAAAAGCGAGATACTCACTGTCGAGATTATCGGCGAGGGAGGTGGCAGGAAAGTTGTCAAGTCCTGCCCACGACATCCCCTTCTCTTCCGTCCTCCTCTAGCTCCACGTTCGAATACGGAGCCCGTGTCTCCACAATAATACCAAAGCGCGCCTAACCAACTCTTCCACACAAATATTCCCACGTCTAATACCGCCCCTACACTCTGAATCAATTCCTTGCCGCTGATCCTTCCAGCGCACAAACTCAAGTAGCCTAGAACCCCTAAAAAGGCCTAAAAAACTTAACCCCTCAATCACGACATAGACGAGGGCAAAACAAGCCAGGCAACTGCACGCCAAGACAGTCCTCGCCACAAATACCCTACCGTGGCACCCAACAAGCCTAATGCAACCCTGGCGAGGACAGAAAGTAGAAGAGGGAGAAGGAGGGAAGGGGAGATAGAAGAAGATGGTGGTGGTGTGCGGCAAGAGTGCCACCATAGCCAGGGTGGTCACTGCAATAGAAAGGAAGGTGGACAATGTGGGCCGGTCCAAAATAAAGTGCTCACTGAGCCGCAGGGCGACCCACCAGCTTAGAAAATCTGTTTCGACAATGTGAAGAAGTGCCAGCCAGCCATGTCAGAATTAAATAATGATAGTCCAAAACAAAACAAAATTGGAGAAAAGTAAACCATAGAGAGTCCCTGGTGTGGAGATGTCCCCAACGTGGCCCCCTCTCCTCTCATATTCAATGGCATATTCTCCCTACCCTAATCAGAATCTCTCGTGAACACGACGTTGCACCCACGTCACCAATCCGGTTTCAGGAAAAAGTGACGGACCTCAATCAAAAGTCATTTTAACGAATGGTGGTGGAAAGAGTTACCTCACGTACAGAAAATGTCGTTGCAAATGACCAGGATCGTTAGTAGCATATAAGAGAAGCCTCTGCTTCCATGCAACGTACCGCAGCCTGAATTTGTGGAACCGGGTTCAGCTGTCCATGTGAGATCAGTTTGTGGCTGTCATTAGGATGATAATCTATTCACAAGGATATTTCAATGTTTCATCAAATATCAGGTTTGAATAAGCAATGAGGCATACATAATCTCCTGGAAGCTTTATCACTGAAGCAAACATTGCGTAACCTACAATTAGGGGGCATTCAAGGTCACGCCCAATGTGACCAACTGTCACGCACATCATGTGCTAGAGGGAAATATTCAATCCAAAAATGTTGGGTTCGCATATTTGACAATATACCAATTCGACAAACTGCACAGACAATTGAAGATAAAAAAAAACTATCGGACGCCGCTACGAGGACCACTACAGCAAGTTGATGTTCAATGTCCAACTTTCATGTCACCTGCCCCATCAAAACTGTCTCCGGGGTCATGCGAAACAGTCCACAAGGCTACATACAGAGATCTGTCACTAAACGAGAAAAGTGGAGTAACTTTAGAACATGCTGCGCCAGAACATGAATGTAAAGGAAAAATCTGAAAACCGACTCTGCAAAGATAATTGTTCTTTGAGAATACACAATATTACAAGCTGCGCTGCCTCTTTGCAGATACTTTGTGTGAAACAGGTAGATCATCATCAGATCCCTCATCTGAATCCACTACTCTGCTCCTTCGTTTAAGTGCTGACCCTCTTGAGTGCTGTCGGCTTTCAGATACGTGCAATGGCACTGCTTGTATACCCTCCTCGTCACTGTCCTCAACCACGGCATCATTTTCTTCGTGATCTCCATCACCTGCACCGATCTCCACGGGCTCAATGTCTTCTACCACATTATCTTCTGTTTCTTCTTCATCCACCCCCGCCTCATTAGGAGGAAATTCATTTACAGGTTCATCGTCTTCTTCGCCTGCTACAGCTTGCTCTCCCGTCCTCTCTTCTTCCTCTTGTTCTCCCTCTTCTCTCTCTTCATCTGGCTCACGTTCTTCAGCCCTCCGCTGAGCTTCCCCACTGTTTCTGTGAACCACAGTCCTGGCTTTCTTAAATGTGTCCATGATCTTAAAATCACGTGCAGTGCTACGTTTTGCGTGCCGCATAAGGTTCACCTTGGTAATTCGACTCAGTTGAATCAAATACCGCTCGTAATCCTCAATGTAATAGATTAGATTCGGGATGGTTCTTCCTTCTCGTCGTATCTTCGAAAAAGATTGATTCTCGTGTTGGTCCTGCGAAATCAACCCATTAGCGGACGGTATATCAGGTTGCATTGAACTACCATGAATGTAAAGATTCCTACACCCTCGTAACATTTTCTTCTGATCTCTTGGAAGAAGGCAAAAAGAGAGTAGAGCCAAGGCATTAGCAACTGTCATACCCGCTGCATGACAGCCATAAAAAGGTAGAGCGGTGCTGTCAGCTTCGTGCAAGTTACTTCAGCAAGCTTTTGAAATCGGTTGCTAGGTAGTATTTGAATAAAACCCTTGGTCGCGATACACATTTTCGTAGATGCTGCCAGGCACTTATACAAATGCGTAGCAAATTTCAAAAACTGCTCTGCCAGTGTCCCTGCATAGTTTCATCATCAACAGGTAAATAAGCCACAGCTAACAGACTTAGAAACACTGCAGTGACTCGATCCCATATACTGTTGCTCATAGTATCTTTAAAGATGATCCTCAATTCCCGTAGCACTCATGAAATTCATCGTGAGGTATTGAGAGGTACGAAGGAATTAGAACAGCGACCTTTGCAGGGTTTCAACTTGACTACAGGGCCCTCGGTGCGTGTCAACAGACCAGTTACCTGGTAGAGTCAAAGTGCAGAAGTCAGAAAGCATAAGCACTACCGCCTCCATGCGTGTGTATAGCATTTCCTCCAATTGTGCCCGCCTCGGTGCTGCTAAGAAGCCTGCAATAGTGCTTCTAGTCTCGGTACGCCTCACCGGTTTGAAGGTTTTGATCTTTGTTACCAACCATTCCACATCCTTCAAAACCTTCTCACCATGTTGCAAGAGCAAACCAGCTAATGTATTCTTTGTGGTACTATCCATGATTGGATAATTCAGTGATGATTCTTGCGGCTGACTCTCCTCAAAGCCCATCACCTTAAGCAGTTCTGAGGACAATCCTCTTGCGAAATTAAGATCTTCCGGGGGAACATTTAAGGATAATGCTAAGGCTGCCAAAGCCAATGCAACCCCTACATTTGATACACTCGTTTCTTTGCAGATCCGGGTTACCCATACCGCCTGCTTTTTCATCATCGATAGGGGTAGTTTTTGACCAAGCAGAAGTACGAGCTTAGCCAAAACCTGCAACCAATGTTCATTTAACAACATTAACACCAAAATAAGGATTTTCATGCAATGTGCCTTACTAAAATGAAGCAGAAACACCACTATGGAATACTGCAGGAAAATGGCGTCAACCAACATTTAATACCATTGTGTTGTTAATTAGACCACCATAAGACAGCATTGAATATTAAAAGATAACAACCAAATAGATACAAAACCATTAGAATGGTATTGCATTAAATATTGAGTGACCTACAGTTACTGACGGCCATGCCCACTCCGAAACGATGGACTTTGAAACAATGTTCAATTTGATAACACAACTTCTGAAACTTTACCTCAATCTCTTTGAATTGCGAATGGTCAAGTAACTCCTTAATCAAAGGTTGCATATGATGGGAGATCCAGTAATGTAGAAGTTTTGCATCAGTTCCTTCCATGGTTCCAAAAGTACGAATATTTGAAGCGTCCAATAGGTCATCATACACCTCACTGTTAAAGTCCAGACTTATATCACGCAATATCTCTGGCAGAATGCCTCTCTGCAACGCTATCCTACAAAGAACATCCAAAGATCTCACAGCATTAAGCATGGGTCCTTCTGCCAAGTCCTCAGATGGTTTTCTTCCCTTTTTCGGCTTCTCCTGAGGGTTTTCAGTTGGAGAATGTGGTGATGCAATCTCGGTCTTGTTCAAGAGAATAATCCTAAAAAGAGGGTTCGCTATCATTTTCCAGTCATGACCGTGAACTTCTAAGGATGTTTGGGCCTCTTTTTCATCTGACGGCGTTCTCGCAATCCCCTTTAAGTGTCTGAAACAGCTCGAAAGAGCAAACGAAAGAAGTTCATAATCTTCCTGGTCTGTGGCGGTATGGAGAAGGTATGCAATGCAAGAACCGGATAAGAACGGAACACGTTTGTCTAGTGCTGCTCGAGGCATTGCAAATTTCACTTGTCTAGCCTGTACTGCGTTTCCACCTTGGGCTCCTGAATCTGCTGGCTTGCGACCTCTCCTGCTCGGAGCCTTAGCGGTAGAGCTTGCCTTGTACAGATGTTTAGACGCTTTCACGTGCTGCTTCTGGTTAACAATTTGGTAAAGAGAATCAAACAGAGAAAGGTAGTTTTTAAGTTCTTGTTTGATTTCATTCTGACGAGACTCTTTATCTACGCGGTTCAGCTCCAATACAGCTGCATCCATTAGCACCTCCAAAATTCCCAAGAAAAGACGCCCTTGCTCCAGTTTTCGCTCACCCTCCACTGTCTCAAGCGAGAAGTTTTCTGTTTTGTCAAGTTGAAAGTCTGAATACCAAAAATAAATCTTTAGCTTTTTGCTGGAGAAATGAATTCGGTACAATTAAGAACAATATGAGGAGCATAAATTCAAGAATCAAGTACGCCCCTTCCTCTGACGTGGTGAGTTTACAATATAAGCAGCTGTCTCCAACAATCCACACCTTAAGGACCAATGTTACACATAAAAGGTATTCGCACTATTACAAGGCAACTATAAGTAACATCCCAAAAATAAGCTAGACAGTGCAGCTCATAAAACAATCCGTTGTGGTGCAGTGAAATAGAAACACCAACCTCCTAACGAACCAACTTGCACAACTTTTCGAATCTTGGAAAAAGCTGCACCCAGTAACTCACCACTAGATAACTGTCTTTTCTGCAACCAAAAGCAAACCTTATGAATCATGTTCTGCTTAAGTCGTTTTTTGGGAGCTTTAGGAATTACATCACGAATTCGTCAAGCACACAATCAAATCCAGCATCAAAGATCTCATCGGTATGGGCACATACATCTTGTTCTTCAGAGAGTGTGAAACCAAACGTGTTTGCTGCAGTTGCAGAATCATCTCCAGGCGACCCTTGTGGCTGCAAGGTTAGTAAGTGATGGACACATGCCACCAGATGATCGAGAGGCTCTTCCACATGCAAATTCATATTTCGGATAACGACACAGTCATTTAATTTCAGAATAACAGCGTCATCCTGAGATCATTGAAATAAAATTTCAGTAGGCATCAATTAAATGCAACTTCAATCCAACGCAAGGATGATCAGATCGAAGTACCAGCTGAATCACTTGTCTCGAGCTTCCATAACAACCGTATATTCTACTATCTAAGTTGATGCATCAAAAAAAATGCTCTTTACCCATACTGTTCTGGTTCAGGTGTTAGCATTCAGGTCCTATGGAAAGAATTTAGAGCTTACCTCTTTTTCCTCGTAGAAGTGGCTAAAGTGGTGCCAAACAAGATCAAACACTTCTTCAGCCGATGCAGGATCCACAAGTAGAAGACTAGGAAGTCGTTTATACAAAACTTCCCTGACAGAGACCTAACTGGACAAGATAGCTGGTTAGATTCTGTCTAGTAGAGATTACGACTTGGACATCCATTAATCCCAAATTGCGAACAACCATTGGAAGGACCCTGAAGCAGCCGCGAACGCGAGAGGGTGATACGAGGATAATAAGTCGTGCACGTCACTAGCAACCCTTGATCACTAAGGATGGACATTGGAGGAAGCAGCACACCTGCTGAGAAAGACAACGTCGTAGCAGCCCGAGGAGTTCCTGAAGAAGGTTTTTGTTGCGCCCATTCATACCTCGTCTTGGCACTTGTTGGCTGGACTGACTAGAGCTCGGTTCACTCATTGACATCCTTAACCAAGACTCAGATTCTGAACTCTTATTCACAAGCACACGAGCTTGTTTATCGGCGATGATCAAATCCAGCAGTCCTTGTGCAGCAATCATGCGAATATTCGCTTCACGGCTGAACATGGACTTTCTCAATACAAGAATTGTGTAATCCTGTTTAGACAAAACCAAACAAACGAACAAACCTTCAGTATGCATTTCTCAAACATGAACTGAACACTAAAGTATTATTATTGCTAAACACCCTATCTTCTACCCGTAAATTGCCCACCTGAAGATCTAGACTGAGCTGAAATAACGGGCACAGAGCTTGAATTATAGAAGAAGCTGGATTGCTAGGCAAGAAAGTGAAGTAGTCTAGACATTCTTTCAGACGTGAACAGTGGTCCAGCATTAGTAACGGATATTTTTGCACAAGTTCCGCCAACATCCTGCAGCAAAAGCAAGGGACTTAATTAAACAGAATGGGCGACAATGTCTAACTATCATGTGATATGGAGGCATGATGGTACATGATCCAACGTTAACAACTTGGAAACCCTACAAACATGCTACCTGCATATTGAACTGCATGCTGCAAACGTGCATACCATACACAACTCATGCATTCAACTCCTGGTGATTGCCTCTGCCTGAGCAAGGGGACTTATTTAGCCCCATTGCTTTTGACAAGGCCAACCCATCTCCATTCTAGCATCTCCTATATCAGCTCGCGCCAATAGAATCCGATAGAGAGGAACTAAATAGGCAGCTACATCCATGTTCCACATGAATCAGATAATATTCCTACTGAAAGGGCAAAAGGTTCCAACATGATCCATGACTTGCCTGATGATTAAAGTGCTCTGTTGAGACTTGAGACCTATTATCCGGCACTTACTCTGTTCAATGATCTGGACACACAATATTAATTATTAGAATTTCAGAACTATCTTCATTAATATAGGGCAAGGGAAAACTCATAGCCTATTTACAACCCCATTCCTTATCCGAAGCTTGATAACTAAAGCTTACTATATTCGATGCAAACGAAAGAAATTGAATTAGACGAAACGGTTCAAAAATATTCAGCAATCTAAAACTCGCAGGGAGAAACTTTTGCTGAAAGGATTTTGTAAAGCTAAGAAAAAAGCTTCTTCAGAACTCTCTGCCTACCAGCTATTTTTCACGAGGACAGTGTCAAACTATTATCTGTCAGCATTATCAACAGAACGACGCCTAGGTGAAGACTTGTCAACCACAGCCACCCACCGACAGCGAACGTGCGAACAACCCTAAGGAATGCTAACGATCACTGAAACTTTTAGCAGAACATCCAATCGCGTGTTGAGGTATATATGGAAGGTTGGGAGACGCAAGAAAGGGCAGCAACGATAGGAATAACACTCACTTCGTCACGTGCTATTTCGTGCACTTTAAAAGCTGCTACCAAAATCCTTAAGCCCAAGTCCTGAGTATCTGTAGCGCGTTCCGCACGTCCTACGTCCTCAGCTGGCAAGGATCGACCACCTGCTCCTGATTCAATAAAGATGAAGCCTAGCTGCACAACACTGGGTATTATGTGGTCCCATCCAAATGCACTGTTTTGAACCTGATACAAAAAATGGTGATATCAGTTCAAGGACGAAACAACACGAATAATCTGCAAGTGCAGTATGAATGACTTCTCATCAAAAGACCACTACTCGAATTTCAATTAATAACCTAGAGATACACACTAGAAATTACAAATAACACATACACATTCAAAGATTTACACACACACACACACACACACACACACATATATATATATATATATATATATATATCTTTGAGATATCACGAAAGAAAGACTTACCGTACGCATGAAAGACGATTCCGTGTCTTTGGCTGTCCGCAGACACGTGGTACCCAATACTGAGGATGTCCACAATGAATCCCTGTTGGTATAAAATTAGATAAGTAATAAAAATGGTAACGGAGGTCGTCAATTAATGGTCTTGGTCCTGAGCACAACAGTGTTCATGTTCCCTTCAACAAGCACATGTACATGAACTGTTCTGAGATTGGAGTTGTCCTTCGTACCTGCACCTCTCACAATCTTGAAAAGGCCTCACCGCAGCCGCTTTGAGAATATCAAAGCATTGTTGCTCGAACCTTTGGATTCGAGCTAGAGAAAGCAATACAGCCACCGAAAAAGGACTAACTGCTCCTTGAATAGATCGAGCAACAGCAAGCCATTCGACTCCAAGAGCCGGATCCTGCTTAACGGCAAAGTTGATATGAAGAATGACGGTTCCTTCCACTTGACGGAATAGATCAATTCCTGCTCGTAAAAACCAAATAAATAGTAACAGTTCATTTCAAAGCATGAAATCAATCGCAAAATATGTCGATTCCACTAAGCGATCCACATTATGTTTCACTCCATATTGCTTTTGTGATATTAGGAGATCATATACCCATTTGCCAAATCCTCACATTCAACATCACACGTATCTCCACAAATATTAATCCAAGTGGAGCTTTGCGCTTGATCGGCATTGAAACTTACCACTTTTTGACCCGTTTTGTGCAATATCTTGCAAGTCGGAGGATTGTAACTTGCTGAAGAAGGACATAATTCCATGAATTATAACTTGTTTGTGGCCACGAGAAGCGAGTAATATCAATTGATAGACAAGAGATGGCAAATCTTGGGGCTCAACTTCCTTCATGTGACTGAAAATTTTCTTGAGAAAATCTTCAGTCTGATCCGAATCTAGGAGCAGCTCCCGCACCATGCATGCCATCCTCGTCAGCAGCCGTTTGGACCATGGAATAGCTAGGAAACGAGACACAATGTGTTCCTTGTATTCTCTTCCACTTATTTGAAGGTTGTCGCCCTAGATCCATGCAACGCGAAGATTACTACGAGTCAGAGCTCCTTTAAGGTGTAAGTACAAAAGGTCGATATATATACAATTGCACACAATTCAATGACAATCATCCTTCAACTTTGCTCATATCAAATCACGCTTGGCAAAGAAAGATAGATTATTCGACAAAGGCTACGAACCGAGTGCACACCCTCACCAGAACATTACAATCTTGTCCTACAACAATGTTACCGTTCTATAGAACTAGTAAAAGATTCTACAGTAGACCCTCACACACTGTACAAAAATAAGGCACAATCAAGGACTCAAACTATCAGGACCAATAAACGTATACCTGTTCTCCAGACACGAGCACCGGTTCAGTTGACGATGATATTATCGACAAGCAATTTGGGAGAAGCTCTAGGCTTCTGCCTTCATCGTTGGCCCCATCGATCTCCAAATTTGACACTACTGCTTCCACGACCGATGGAAGAAGACGGCAGGGCAATGAGCTCAGCTCTTGTGCAAAAAATGAAAGACATTCCAAAACCTTCCTGTCTGTGCAGAGCTTCTGATCATTTATTAACTCAATGACGCGCACAACCACCAAAACCAAAAGCTTGGCGGACCTAGAAAATTCGTCCTTATCTACCAAAGGCATCAAGAAACGAAATAATGCTCGTGTGTAATCTAACACTGCTTGTCCAGGATTCCCATTCCTACAACGCTTATCGAATGCTTCCAGTATTACTTCATCATTCCTGGATAATATAAGCTCTGCAAAGGTACGTTGCTTTTCCGTCAGCTGGGAGGACCCTGCTGACAACACCTCTTCAACAATCTCATCGTCGAACTCCATTGGACTTGAGTTCACCAAAACGAAAGAGAATAATTGATTAACTCATGATCCGAGGGGCATATGTGGGCAACAACTGACGAGGTACAGAACAAAGGAAGACCTCGACGTGCAGCTTTGCACAATTTACTTAGGACATGAAAACTTTGCATACACTAACATATAGCACCGTCGTAGGATTCAATCAACCGAAATTGACATAAGAACTAAGAATCAACGCAGCTGCATCAGTAGAGCAGAACATCCTGTCAGAACCTAAATAGTGCTGAAACGAAACAATTTCAGGGTGACGCAATGCTCTTTCACTGTGTAGCTCCGACTTCGACATTTCATTCCTTGCAACGGCCTATGATCTATACAGATGATTTGCAAGGTACAATTTCTAGCAGCAAGAACATCCTACAAAAAACCTGAGGAAGTCAAATGGTGACCAGGAGTAACTTATAAACGAATATAGATCGTGCTGGTGAATGCTTGAATGCTAGCAGTGCTAGTGAATGTCTTAGCACCTTAGTGAAGAACCAGAATGACCCTCACACAAGACCAAATTTAGATGAAACACCATTCAACCAATCGGAAGGAACAAAGCACAGCAATATCGCTTCGTTCCCGCATCCACGCACGCGGACGAACTAAACTACGGCCAACTGCGGGGGTGCAAAATTATGGATCTCGTCAGTCTCTGGACGCGAGATATGATTTAAAATCCTACGCGAGGATCACAACACAGTGTGTATTCCAATCACAGAGACAACTGCGGCAACTAAAATTGCGATGTCGAATCATAGGTAAAAAAAATTACTCAGAAAATCACAGGCATAGACGAACACATGAAAATTCTGCCGTGCGCAACTCGAATTCACGCAGGAGATTCTGAGTCGCAGCAATGTGAAAGCTGTCAGGAATCCGAATTGCGGTGTAAGGCCACACCGAAGCGAACTGCACAGCTTCACAGCGAAGCCTCTCGTGGAAATCGACTCATTTCGCGCGGGAATGGATGAAAGCCAAACTTGTTTAGGTTTGCATTTCAAATTCCACTCAAAGCGTTCACGTAACGCACTTCCTCTACCGAAGAGGAATTTGTTCTGTTGCTGTCTCAGCCAAAGTCATTCTCCCGTTATTGATGATATCCGCCAACGGGTACATACCAGGGTATCATTACATATCAACCAATATATCAACCTGGACCAGATAGAGTTAAAATATAGTTTTTTTTAATGGTTACTTCATATAGTATCCTAGTCCATATATTGTATGATATACGTGAATGGGGTTATTTCTGGAGGTACTTTTACAAGTTGATTGTTTAACACATATTGTAACTAATTATAATTTTTTGTAGTGTATGGCCAAAGTGTGTGTGTTAAATTCTGCCACTCTACTAAAGTTCTACCAAATAATATATTTGAAAATTTTCAGTCGTAAAATAAATACCATGGTTGTTTGACAATAAGTCAACACTTTGAAAGCATGACATTCCTCATGGTTATGTAATGAGATTTTTTCTCTTAAAAACAAACATTAGAACTGTGTATGTTCATTAAAGCTACATTTTTAGTGCTAAAATTGCAGAACAATGCTACTTTAATTATATCAATAAAACATGATTTATGAAAAACTTGGTGTGATTTGTAAAAAAATGTTATTATGTCAATATAAAATACTTTCATCATATAATTAGGAAAAATAAATTTGTAACTGCATTGATCTAATACTGAAATTTCAAAAATAGAATTAAGTATTTCAAAACACATTTTTATTTATTTATTCATTTTTTATTTAGTTCTTTGATTATTAATAAGTTATAAAAAATGTTAATATAGAGGCTTATAATTTGAATTACAAATCACTAAGACATTTATTATAAATCTAGTAAGAATCAAATTTAAAAAATAATTTATTATATTACACTATGTTAATAAATTATATCTTAGAAATAAAGTTTTTCTTTGGAACATAATGAAATACATAATTATACAAAAAAAAATATAAAATATTAGCCAATAAAAAAAATTTAAAAAAATTAATAGTAGATAATATTTTTAATAATTTTTATAATAAACGAATAAAATATATTTCTAATTTTACTTTATAAATCTAAATAATATTATTTTTGTAATTTTTTCTAAAATATTGATAATAAATTGAGTTCAAAGAAGTTTTATTAGAAAGTTCTAAAATTTCAAAAAAACAAATCTATACAAGATAGAAAATATCTTTAAATTATTAATAAGTAGAATGCATTCTTTTTATTTGATTACTTATAATTTATATTTGTTTTTTTATAAATTTTTATTATATCTAAATAAGCATAACACAAAAATCTACATGTTTTGTATATTTAAAATTAAAATTAAAATATATTCCAACTAAAAATACTTAAAAACATATGTTTGTTCTTTAAAATAATTATTAAAATAAAGTTTTACTAAAATATTTTAAAAATTAAAGATTAGTACTATCTTTATTTTATTTTTCATAAAAATCTTTCACTTTGATTTCTATTTGTGATTTTTATGTATTTTAAAATATGTAAGTATTAATATATAAGAAAAAAAAAATTGAGTAATTTTTTTATTTTTTGATTACAAATTTTAATATAAAAAAATGCTTCTAACCATCAAATATATTACTTAAATATATAGAAGTGAATACATGTAAGTTATATTGAAGAATTATTTTTTGACATTGACATAGGGTAGACTTACAATTATTCTTAAATGTATCATCTGGCTATTAAAGATGTTTTATTGCATATAAAAAAATATAAAAGAAGTGTCTGTAGAATAGGCAAATAAACTTTGTAGTAAGTTATTGGTTGGTTATTAATAACCTTGAGAATTAGACTGATGGTTAGGCAGTTTAGTTGATAACAATAGGTTGTTAGTGAAATAAATGGTTAAGAATTCAAAGGATCAAAACCTTTGGAATCTGCTGGGCGACGGTGTCGTATTACGTGCTTTCCTGCTCGAGAACGCGCCGGGCCTTTGGCTGTAGAAGGTAGTATGGAGATTCACTAATATTCAAGCAGTCTATCGGTTTTTGACTGTTGGAATACAAACGATTGCAAGAATATATCGTAAATCTATACGGATGTCCTTCGACTGCTCGCCGAAATCCTTTTTGTCCCAGCCAGTAGGTCTCCATACATTACAGAGAACCCCGAACAACCGAATCTGCTAATCTCCGTTACCGCTTTATATTCATGACCTTGTATCCACTGACTGTCTTGTTAAATTAACCCAATAAATTTCATTCACTCCGCATACTCAATCCTATAGACACCCTTTTAATTCTTCAATCACAGACATAACTTCGATTTTACAAAACAGTCAAGAATAATCACACCCACTTCATTAAAACTCCAATTCACCAGTACAACACATCGAATATTCAACAACGATTGCCCCAGTCTTCCCAAAACCCTATGAAGAAAAAAAAAACCCAATCCTCTGTCTTTTTTCCCCGCCCGAAGCATGAAGCTAGCTTTCCGACCCTTCAAAAAACTTATTCTCTCCCCTCTCATTTCTTAACCTATCCTCTCCTTTAACCCTAATTCTTCCCTCTTTCAAACCCTAGCCTCTAAATTTCTTCAATCTTCCGTCTTGGATCCGGAATTGGCTTCGCCGTTAGAGCTTTCTCCTTCGTTTTTATCTTTAAGAGATCTTTTTACCGAAAGGACGTTCCCGGAACGGTACAAAGGACGAAACAACCTGAAACGGAATCGGAGCCCCGTAATTACGACCACATTGAGTCGCCCGACCAATTCAAGTCTCATATTGGCTAAGAGGCCCGTAGTAAGATCTGGATGTTCCTGTAATTGGACCACATTGGGTTGCCCGACCAAGTCAGGTCTCATATTGGGTAAGAGGCCCGTAATAGGACCTAAATTGGATGTCTTGAAATTGGATCCAATTTGCTATTCGAACCAGGCTCACCCGTCGTTGAATTGGTCCTTTCCCTTTCTGCTGACTCCCGTTATTGGAATCGAATAGAACATTTCAGTATGCCCCAGCTGACTGTAACGGGGTGACTGAACCTGGCCTCTCAGTATTTGCACTGGAATTGGTTGTTGCTCCCAATATTCAAGGTAACTGAACATCAATAAAAGTCCCCTTTCTTTATATTTTCACTGTATACTCATATTACAACACGACATCCACCCCCTCTGAACTTGTGCATCCTCTGGCATGCACCAATTTATCCAATTGCTGTTTGATTTAGAATACATCCTCTACGTCTTTGTCCAGTTCGTCTTCGTCACCTTCATTATCCAAATCACTTTCATCTTCTTGTTGCGAAATCTTTAAACCTTCATTAAGGTCTTCCATATTCATCTCCGCATGTCTTCGTTTAAATATTTTTACTCGCTTCTCTGCAATTGGTATTTTCAATTTTGTACCATCTAACTACTATAATGAATAAGTCGCATTATCATGAACAGTTGTTACAACATATGGTCCAAACCAACGTTTTGAAAATTTCCGCAAAGTACTATGTTGATTATCCAGACTATTGTCATAAACAAGTACCCAGTCACCTTCCTCGATTGCTTTTGGTCTCAATCGATGTTGCTTATCAAATCGCGCTTTGTTTTGTAACCTTGCTCTTTTTAACCTTTCCAATGCTATCTGGACATCTTCTGTTCTTTGCTCCAATTGTCGAATCCTAATAGCCAGAAGTTCTTCTCTTGTCAATCCATCTTCCCATGGTAGCATACTCCAAGTAAGTACCTTTTATTCAATTGGCATAATTGGTTTTTGACCTGTCATAAGTTCTACTGGCATATATCCTGTCACCGAACTATGTGTTGTTCGATCAGCCCATAATGCAAATGACAAAAGCCGTGGCCACTCTTTAACTTTCCCATTACAAGCTTTAATTAATGCTTTCACAATCGGTGGGTGACAACGTTTGCTTTTTGCATTCCCTTCCGGATTATAAGCAGTAGTCAGTGATAGTTTAACTCCACATCTTTCAACGAACTTACGAGCTTCTTGTGCATTTAATTCTCCATGATCTCCAAAGATTTTTCCTACGCATCCGTAGTGGCAAATGACATCTTCAAGCAAAAACCTACAAATCCCCTCTGTAGATTTTGTCCTCAATGCTCTTCCTTCTACTTGATTTGATAAATCTTCACAAGCTAAAACCAAATATCTCATCTGCCATAATCCAACCGACATAATAACCAAATCAACAACCCATTTAAAATGAATAGCCAGAGGATACGTAGGATGAAGACCATCTCGATGTCGGATATTAGAATACGATTGACAGATTTCACATGACTCTACAAATGAGAGCACATCTCGATACATATTTTTCCACCAATATCGTTCCTTGAGTTTAGCAAAAGTAGCCCAGATTCCTCTATGCCCTGCCCATAAACTATCATGAAACTCCTTTAATAATTTTAGTTTTTCTTCCCTTTTGCCTATCACTCGTTGTGGCATCTCAATTCCTTTCTTCGGTCTCTTCCATAAGAATCCATCTCGAAGTAAAAATCCATATGCTTTTTTTTCTTATTTGTTTGAATTTTTCTATAGACCAATTCTCCTGCTTAGTCAAGGTATTCAAATAATGACCAATATCCAATAATTCTCCTTCATGAGATTCTTCAAGAAATACCTGTCTTCTCTGTTGAGATTTGATATTGAATAGAATTTCAATCCGACGTCATCAATGTCTTCAACCATTTCGTCCTCCCTCTCGTATCTTGCTCGAGATAACATGTCTACTACTAAATTGCCTTTCCCAGTAATATGTTTAAATTCTGGATTTAGTGACTTAATATAAGCAATCCATCTCAACATTGCAATATCTGGCGTTGAACAGTTAATAATCATTCCAAGCAATGGCAAGCAATCTGTTTTAATTATTACTACTGCCCCAATCAAATAGTCCTTTTCAGTTTTCATAGCCGAAACGACTCCCCAAAGTTTTCTTTTGACTTGCGAATATGCACGCTGACGAATACTTAAAACTTTAGCCCCAAACCGAACTGCAAATCTATTCCCAC